TGGTGGTGGTGGTTTGAGGAGCTTCCAGGAACTGCTAAGAGCTGGCAAGTAGCTATGGCATGAGCAAGACATGAAAGAACAGAACATTTATTCTGATCTCTGCAGGTTCTTAATTCAGACTTCAGCATCACATTATCTAAGTAGCCTCACAGGGTTGCCTGAGTGAAAACTGGGATGGCCCCTGTACTTTTAATGGTTGTGTAGAAGTGGGAATTTCAGCAGGTGTTATTGTCATGTACTGGCTGACTTTAGCTCAGAAAGCCAAACTTTAGTGTAAAACAGCAGTTCACAGGATGTTGATGTTGTTAGGAGTAAAGCAATTTCAGTTACACAATACAGTAAAAGCACAAAGCATTTAAAATCCTTTCGCACACTCAAACTCCATTCGTTTCTAAACCAAAGCATCCCTCTTCTCAAGACAGCCCCATTCTTTCTGTTCATACCAGGCACTCTTACAGAAGTGGCCTTGTCAGCTCCCAGTGCCTATTATCTCCCCTTCATATCTTCTCATTAACCAACTCCAGCATAGATAAACATTATTTCCACCTGACAATACCAAAGATATAACACATCCCATCATCCAGTAATACAAAGCAAAGCAGGGATAGCATAAATAACTAAGAAGCATGGCAGAAACTCTGAGGGACTCCGATCCTGGCAGTCGCTTGTAATTCAACCTGGTAACAAGCAATACCTATGGAAATGCTTTTTTCAACACAACCATTTAAGGTACAGGAGCCTGCTCCAATTTTCAGTCTGGCTACCCTACAGCACAGTGTTGGACACTTTACACCATCCTAGGTGGCATTATTTCAACATCATACACAGAGCCTGGAAATGGGTTGGAGGTCAGGAGAATGCATTGCCTCCCCCTAAATTTGAGAGCCTTTTAGGAAAAAAAGTGAGAGTTGCCTCCAAAGTGCCTTAAAACATGGCAGAATGGTGAATTGTATCTCTTAGATGACAAGGACTTTTGGTGGAGGGGAGCAGCTCTGAGGCTCGAAAAATGACCACATGCATTTCATGGACCACATTTTGCCCACACTCGGTTTAGGAAACTCTTTCTTTAAATGAGACATAAGGAATTGGACAGAATTCAGAGGATGAAAGGAGCTGAAAATGTTGCCTTGAAGAGACTGGAGATGTTTCACTTAGAATACCATTTTGTCCACCAAAATGTGGCCTGTGAGTTGAGGGACCAAGAGCTGCAGGCAGAGTGTGGTTGCAGAGTCCTGATGTCCTGGCAGTAGGGGACATCTAGATAGTGTACCCCTAGCTCTGCCTGTCACAAGGCACTGTGGAACTATTCCATCCTTTTCCCTTTATTGCTTTTCTGTGGTAAGCAAAATGATGGAATGCTTGTCAGGGAAAGACAAGAGGGTTGTAATACGGAGATGGCTGAGACCCGACACCAGATCTGGTAGTGTGAATCTCCACATGCAGAGTGATGCATTAATTAATGCCACCCTTGCATTGAATGGCAACATTGTGCAACTGAACCAAGACACCAGATGTGCTCCTGAATGCGCAACTCAATGTCCAACTCCGTTTCTGTAACCATGCATTGAGTGTGGATGTTCCACATCTGACCAAAATGCCCAGCCTCTTCTTTGGGGAACTTATACACATAGAAGACTCAAACAGAATTTTACACACTGTCTGGAGCCTGTGTTAAATCCCACAAATGACATAAGCTAATGTACAAGAACAGTCAGTCTCTCTCTCTCTCTCTGTTTTTTTTTTTTTTGTCACAAATAGTAAACTTAAGGAGTGAATTGGGAGCCAGCTGGAAGTCCCATGACTTCAGTGTTCAAATCTATTTATCTTCCCACTGCTTTCTCTCACAATCTCTCTTACATGGCTATAATTGGCGTGTTGAGAAAGAAACTCGGGTGGATCTGTGCAGAATTCAGCATAAGGGTGAAATCATTGTACAGCTTCCCCAAACTTGTCACTGATCTGTTGGGTTACAAACCTATCTGCTATGTGATTCAACACATTTGGAGGACATTCTGTTGGGGAACTCTGCTATAAATTATACCCAGCTTACATCACAAGCCATATTTAGCATGCCTTTGAAAAGCAGGGAACTTGCAATTGAGATGACAACTCTCTAAAATGGTCCTTGGTTAAATGTTCTTATCAATAACACATTTGATAGAATGTACTATATGCTAGTTTCCATCTTCAGAATTTCCCTTACTCCTTCAAAGTATCACTTTCTAGTATTTTTCTATTTCATAATGTTGTGCCACATTTGTATGGATTTGGGGAACTAGGGAATTATAAAAAGGATTCTGGAGAGATTCCCTCCCCCCCCCCTTTTTTTTTTTTAAGGTACAGATTCTCTTTAAACCATATTTGCATTTCTGTGTGCACCTACCTAACCACACCAGGAAAGTAAAAATCCATTGTAGTTTAGCCCAGTCCTTGGGGGGAATCTCTTTGTAGACCTTGGCTGCACAGCAAAAGGTACAGTTAACTCAGGATGAGCAGTTTGCAGATCTGACAGGATAAGGTCATCGTTGAGCTGAGCCTTACCTTGGTATGTGGCAAGTGGTCTTCATTTGTGTCTTCACTTTCTTCTTCAGCTCCACCAGTTGCTTTGGGTCTGCCAGTCTGAAGAGTGAGCAGTCGTTCCTCATGCCTCCCAAGGAAACTGACATCTTCAGGGGAGAGGTTTACAATCCTTTTCCCTATGAGTTCACCTTTGAAATGCTGGTTAAGGGACCCTGTTTGCTGGCAGGTAAGATATAGAATCTGTTCTTCTTCTCTTTTTGTCTCTGAATGCACTTACAAATGGGA